AGTGGGGTGATCAAAGAGAAGTGCGGAATTTAAATAGAAAATCTCTTTAATATTATATCAAACTTGTCATACATTTTTCTCTCCTCTTTCTCTCGATTACCTCACGCTTTCCCTTCTCTCTCTTCTTCTTCTCTCTGTCTCTCACCCTCTCTTTCTTTTTTTAATTTTCTTTCTCTTTCTTCTTCTCTCTCTCTCTCTCTCTCTCTCTTTTTTCTTCTCTTCTCTCCGTATGTCTCTCTCTCCCTCTTCTCTGCTTCTTCTTCTTCTTAACAAAGGGAGCTTAAGCCCAGAGAACAATGGTTTCATTAAGCCTGTTTTTTTTTTTCCTTGAGTCAAAAAGCTTGTGGAAAATGCATTACATGCCTCTTTCATTTCTAGATTTCCACAAACATTTCATTAAGCTTGTTATTTTTCCTTGAGTCAAAAAGCTATGAGAACAATGACTTGTAAACATTTATCTAAATCAAACGGACAATGGATTTTGATAATTTGTGGATTGCGATGGGTGTTTCTTTGTTTTTCTCTACAAGTCAACAATCTTCTGGAAAACACACCCCTTAATGGCGGTACATATGCAATCATAACCTAGAAATTAATTGACAAATTTAATTGGGGGTTGTGAACCTTTCTGCGATGGGTGTTTCTTTGTTTCTCTCTCCAGCATCTGGCATCTTGCATCTGGAATTTAACCAAATTTACAGAGAGAGATATAGAGACTGAGAAAAAGAAGACGAAGAAGAAAAGAGAGAGAAGTAGAAGAAGAAAGAGAAGGGAAAGCGTGAGGTAATCGAGATAAAGAATGAGAGAGAGAGGTATGATAAGTTTTATATAATATTAAATTAGTTCAATAATCATTAAAGTGGCTGCCACTTGCACGTGAAAAAACCACCAAAGAGTTTATTTGCGCGTGGTTTTAAGTTTTGTCAATTAATACATATCAAAGCTACAGTACCTTTGGATTGATCTGACGTTTCACATTTAGTGTACGCATTTTAATTAAAATCCAGTCATCCTGATGTGAGCAAAACTGTATATATATATATATATCTATCCATCTATGTTTGTCTTTTTTTTATATTAAAAAATAAATAAGGATTACAAAGATATATTTGATAATTTCAGAAATTTTCCATTAAAAATTTGCTTTGTTAGGGTCTTGATCAAGACTGTCTTCAAATAATTTTGATGTATTCTTGTTAAGGATAGCAATTGCCTACATGACCCGAATAACGATTTAAAATATGAATATAAAATTAAGGGGGTTCAACCCACATGACTAAAATTGCGGGTCAAATTTAAATCAACACGCCATGACACGTTTAATAAATGGTGAATTTAAAGTTAACTCACCAACTTGCGAAATGACATACTTGCCAATTTTGGCACATGCTTGTGTCTTTTTTATTTAACAGGTGATGATTAAGTAGCTAGGTAGATATCTTTCATGTGCATCAAGAGGATTAAATATGTTGGGTACATACATTTTTAACAAGCTCCACATTTGAAATAAAAAAAATCGCAGGGCATAAATTAATTGATTAATTGGGAATAATGTATGTACATATTCTTTGCCTGATTTGTACAGAGAGGGGCCTATATATAAATATATTTAATTGACAATTCTTAAAGTTGAACTAATGTTTGATCGATAGGGTGTGTGTGTGACCATTACTTAATATGATTAGAATATGTATGAATATATTTGTATGTGTGTGTGCAGAGAGAGAGAGAGAGGAGAATTGTGGATTGTACCTCCTTGCATTTTTTAATTTTATTTTCTTTCTTCTCTTGGTTGATGTCCCATCATCTGCTCTTGCTCCTATTTTTGCAGACCTGACCTTGCTAATGGACAGTCTCCATGATCTGCATGGTCCCAAGAAAATGTCATCATATGGCCAAGAATTTCATTTTTGCAGACAAAACACCTAAAAAAGGAATGTTTTTGGATGGAAACATAAAAGGGAATGCTAATCCTATTAAGCATTGGAAAGGAAAACTTTTGGGCCCCTAAATCAATAACAATAAAATAAATGTCCTATTAAAAAAATGACAAATAATATTACAGCTTAACTAAATCCTTCTTAACCCTATTATTAACTAACTAAATAAGTAAATGCTTCTTGATTCAATCTTTGAATTTGAAAATATAGTAAATTATAAATACCTACATTGGTGCACCTTTTAATTGCAATATTCCTGCATGCTGATATCTGGCTTGGTAGATATGACACTCTCTATATTTGCTAAGTCCTGGTTTTAAATTGGATACTCACTCACACCATGCTTCAGTGCTTAATTTGTTGTAGAGAGAGGCAGAGCCCACCCTCTTCCCTAAATGCAACAGCCCCATGTTTTCAAACTCCCACTTGTTTATGGCACCTTCCAAATAGTGTCTCCAACCGGGCCATGTGATGTTTTTGCAGCATCTCAAGTAGGCATTGAAAATCTCATCATACCTAGTAGAGGTACAAAGTTCGTTGGTTTTTATTGGCAGTTGGTAATTTTTTATTTTCTAGTAAAGTCAATTGACCAATGATTCCTTGTATTATTTTGGGTTGTATTTGAAGGTCAGTTGAATTCAATTACTTGAACCAAAATGTAGTTCATGTTCTTGATTTTGTGGTATGTGGAGAAGAATACCATCTTCGTTTTTTTAAAGAAAATTCAACATTAATGATTCAAATGCAACTTCTCAAAATAATATATCTTTGTTCAGTATTTATAAAATCTTTTGTCCTCTATGAATCTACTTGTAAAATTGTGCAATTGATGTATATTTGAATTTCAATTCCTCAAAGTTATTGTTTGGTTGAGCATGGTCAACTGGTCCTGATCCTAAAACATTTCCACCAAGAAATAAAGCTCAAGGACTCTAGCTTGGAATTTATTCTGATACTGGCTAGGTTGAAATTTTTATGTATTATATTATCTAGTGTGTTATGCTCATTATGACTTCCTCACTATTCATCACTATTCCACAATGC